TACACTTCACCTCCCCTCTTACTTGTTGTTGCCACCTTCCTCTTTTCCATCTACCTCTTACTCTAACTGTAGCTACAAGTAAATAATGATCCGATATATCAGTTGCCCCTCTATAAACATGTACATCCTGGAGCCTACCCATCAACCTTTTATCCACCAATACATAATCTAATAAACTACTTTCATTACGTGCTACATCATACCTTGTATATTTATTTATCCTCTTTTTCATAAAATATGTATTACTTATTACCAAATTTCTTTCTACACATAGCTCAATTAAAGGCTCCCCATTTACATTTACCCCTTGCACCCCAAATTTACCTACTACTCCCTCCATAAAAATTTTTACCCACTTTAGCATTGAAATCCCCAACCACCATTACTCTCACACTTGATTCAAAACTCCCCACGCATTCACTCAACATTTCCCAAAATCTCTCTCTCTCCTCTACACTTCTCTCTTCTCCAGGTGCATACACGCTTATTATAACCCACTTTTCACATCCAATCTTTATTTTACTCCACATAATCCTTGAATTAATACATTTATAGTCCCTCTTTTCGTGCCATAGCTTATCCTTCAACATTATTGCTACTCCTTCTTTAGCTCTAACTCTATTTGAAACCCCTGACCTAATCCCATTTATTCCTCTCCACTGAAACTCTCCCACCCCCTTCAGCTTTGTTTCACTTAAAGAAAGGACATCCAGCTTCTTCTCATTCATAACATCCACAATCATCTCTTTCTTATCATCTGCACAACATCCACGCACATTCAGACTTCCCACTTTGACAATTTTCTTCTTCTTATTCTTTTTAGTAATCTTTACAGGAAAAGGGGTTACTAGCCCATTGTTCCCGGCATTTTAGTTGACTTTTACAACACGCATGGCTTACGGAGGAAAGATTCTTATTCCACTTCCCCATGGATATAAAAGGAAAATTAATAAGACCAAGAACTATTAAGATACAAATCAAAGAAAACTCAGATGAGTGTGTATAAATAAATGTGTACATGTATGTCTAGTGTGACCTAAGTGTAAGTAGAAGTAGCAAGACATGCCTGTAATCTTGCATATTTATGAGACAGACAAAAGACATCAGCAATCCTACCATCATGTAAAACAATCACAGGCTTTCGTTTTACACTCACTTGGCATGACGGTAGTACCTCCCTGGGTGGTTGCTGTCTACCAACCTACTACCTGCACATGCATATATATATATACATACATCTAGGTTTTTCTCCTTTTTCTACATAGCTCTTGTTCTTCTTTATTTCTTCTATTGTCCATGGGGAAGTGGAAAAGAATCTTTCCTCCGTAAGCCATGCGTGTCATATGAGGCGACTAAAATGCCGGGAGCAATGGGCTAGTAACCCCTTCTCCTGTAGACATTTACTAAAAAAGAGAAGAAGAAAAACTTTATAAAACTGGGATGCTTGAATGTGCGTGTATGTAGTGCAGATGACAAGAAATAGATGATTGCTGATGTTATGAATGAAAAGAAGTTGGATGTCCTGGCCCTAAGCGAAACAAAGCTGAAGGGGTAGGGGAGTTTCGGTGGGGGGAAATAAATGGGATTAAATCTGGAGTATCTGAGAGAGTTAGAGCAAAGGAAGGGGTAGCAGTAATGTTGAATGATCAGTTATGGAAGGAGAAAAGAGAATATGAATGTGTAAATGCAAGAATTATATGGATTAAAGTAAAGGTTGGATGCGAGAAGTGGGTCATAATAAGCGTGTATGCACCTGGAGAAGAGAGGAATGCAGAGGAGAGAGAGAGATTTTGGGAGATGTTAAGTGAATGTATAGGAGCCTTTGAACCAAGTGAGAGAGTAATTGTGGTAGGGGACCTGAATGCTAAAGTAGGAGAAACTTTTAGAGAGGGTGTGGTAGGTAAGTTTGGGGTGCCAGGTGTAAATGATAATGGGAGCCCTTTGATTGAACTTTGTATAGAAAGGGGTTTAGTTATAGGTAATACATATTTTAAGAAAAAGAGGATAAATAAGTATACAAGATATGATGTAGGGCGAAATGACAGTAGTTTGTTGGATTATGTATTGGTAGATAAAAGACTGTTGAGTAGACTTCAGGATGTACATGTTTATAGAGGGGCCACAGATATATCAGATCACTTTCTAGTTGTAGCTACACTGAGAGTAAAAGGTAGATGGGATACAAGGAGAATAGAAGCATCAGGGAAGAGAGAGGTGAAGGTTTATAAACTAAAAGAGGAGGCAGTTAGGGAAAGATATAAACAGCTATTGGAGGATAGATGGGCTAATGAGAGCATAGGCAATGGGGTCGAAGAGGTATGGGGTAGGTTTAAAAATGTAGTGTTAGAGTGTTCAGCAGAAGTTTGTGGTTACAGGAAAGTGGGTGCGGGAGGGAAGAGGAGCAATTGGTGGAATGATGATGTAAAGAGAGTAGTAAGGGAGAAAAAGTTAGCATATGAGAAGTTTTTACAAAGTAGAAGTGATGCAAGGAGGGAAGAGTATATGGAGAAAAAGAGAGACGTTAAGAGAGTGGTGAAGCAATGTAAAAAGAGAGCAAATGAGAGAGTGGGTGAGATGTTATCAACAAATTTTGTTGAAAATAAGAAAAAGTTTTGGAGTGAGATTAACAAGTTAAGGAAGCCTAGAGAACAAATGGATTTGTCATTTAAAAATAGGAGAGGAGAGTTATTAAATGGAGAGTTAGAGGTATTGGGGAAGATGGAGGGAATATTTGAGGAATTGTTAAATGTTGATGAAGATAGGGAAGCTGTGATTTCGTGTATAGGGCAAGGAGGAATAACATCTTGTAGGAGTGAGGAAGAGCCAGTTGTGAGTGTGGGGGAAGTTCGTGAGGCAGTAGGTAAAATGAAAGGGGTAAGGCAGCCGGGATTGATGGGATAAAGATAGAAATGTTAAAAGCAGGTGGGGATATAGTTTTGGAGTGGTTGGTGCAATTATTTAATAAATGTATGGAAGAGGGTAAGGTACCTAGGGATTGGCAGAGAGCATGCATAGTTCCTTTGTATAAAGGCAAAGGGGACAAAAGAGAGTGCAAAAATTATAGGGGGATAAGTCTGTTGAGTATACCTGGTAAAGTGTATGGTAGAGTTATTATTGAAAGAATTAAAAGTAAGACTGAGAATAGGATAGCAGATGAACAAGGAGGCTTTAGGGAAGGTAGGGGGTGTGTGGACCAGGTGTTTACAGTGAAACATATAAGTGAACAGTATTTAGATAAGGCTAAAGAGGTCTTTGTGGCATTTATGGATTTGGAAAAGGCATATGACAGGGTGGATAGGGGGGCAATGTGGCAGATGTTGCAGGTGTATGGTGTAGGAGGTAGGTTACTGAAAGCAGTGAAGAGTTTTACGAGGATAGTGAGGCTCAAGTTAGAGTACATAGGAAAGAGGGAAATTATTTCCCAGTAAAAGTAGGTCTTAGACAAGGATGTGTGATGTCACCGTGGTTGTTTAATATATTTATAGATGGGGTTGTAAGAGAAGTAAATGCGAGGGTCTTGACAAGAGGCGTGGAGTTAAAAGATAAAGAATCACACATAAAGTGGGAGTTGTCACAGTTGCTCTTTGCTGATGACACTGTGCTCTTGGGAGATTCTGAAGAGAAGTTGCAGAGATTGGTGGATGAATTTGGTAGGGTGTGCAAAAGAAGAAAATTAAAAGTGAATACAGGAAAGAGTAAGGTTATGAGGATAACAAAAATATTAGGTGATGAAAGATTGGATATCAGATTGGAGGGAGAGAGTATGGAGGAGGTGAATGTATTCAGATATTTGGGAGTGTACGTGTCACTGGATGGGTCTATGAAGGATGAGGTGAATCATAGAATTGATGAGGGGAAAAGGGTGAGTGGTGCACTTAGGAGTCTGTGGAGACAAAGAACTTTGTCCTTGGAGGCAAAGAGGGGAATGTATGAGAGTATAGTTTTACCAACGCTCTTATATGGGTGTGAAGCATGGGTGATGAATGTTGCAGCGAGGAGAAGGCTGGAGGCAGTGGAGATGTCATGTCTGAGGGCAAAATGTGGTGTGAATATGATGCAGAGAATTCGTAGTTTGGAAGTTAGGAGGAGGTGCAGGATTACCAAAACTGTTGTCCAGAGGGCTGAGGAAGGGTTGTTGAGGTGGTTCGGACATGTAGAGAGAATGGAGCGAAACAGAATGACTTCAAGAGTGTATCAGTCTGTAGTGGAAGGAAGGCGGGGTAGGGGTCGGCCTAGGAAAGGAGGGAGGGGGTAAAGGAGGTTTTGTGTGCGAGGGGCTTGGACTTCCAGCAGGCGTGCGTGAGCGTGTTTGATAGGAGTGAATGGAGACGAATGGTTTTTAATACTTGACGTGCTGTTGGAGTGTGAGCAAAGTAACATTTATGAAGGGGTTCAGGGAAACCGGCAGGCCGGACTTGAGTCCTGGAGATGGGAAGTACAGTGCCTGCACTCTGAAGGAGGGGTGTTAATGTTGCAGTTTAAAAACTGTAGTGTAAAGCACCCTTCTGGCAAGACAGTGATGGAGTGAATGATGGTGAAAGTTTTTCTTTTTTGGGCCACCCTGCCTTGGTGGGAATCGGCCAGTGTGATAATAAAAAAATAAAAAAATTACTATATTAGGTATACAGTAGAGTACTTTAGTGCACATTTTTACTATTCTTTAACTTCACTTTGATATAATGGACTATCCCTGTTAGCCCGTTATATTGCAGGTTTACTGTATATATAGAATAAAGTGTATATAAATTGGTTCCTTAGAATATTAATGGAGGCTTTCAGTTTGATTTTCTCCCAAAAATGTTTATGTGGCCCTTAAGATATTGGACTGAAACAAATGATCTCATAGTTGAGTAGGTATTCCTGGCCCCCAAACACTCCTGCCATCTATCACATTATAACTCAAGAAAGACTAATTCAGGTAGGTTATGAAAATATATATGTCTGAAAAATACTGACTCATAAAATATAAAATTTGATTCTACTTTTCCTGTTCTTTACAGAATCGTGTGTCTGTCACTTGGAGTAAGGCTGGTGGTGAGTTGCCATATGGAAGAGCATCAGACAACAGACAAGGCCTTCTTATCATCACTCAGGTAATATAACATATGTATTTGTATATTTATATGAAGCTTATAAATTTAGTTTATAAATTTTTGCTTTCATGTAATGTGCAGATAGTGTAGTATTCTCTATCATAAATGCTTAGCCTGTCTGGTACTACTTAACAGTGAGAACAGTAAGTGTCAGGGGCACAAGACTGTTCAGCTGCCTCCCAGCATACATAAGGGGGATTACTAATAGACCCCTAACTGTCTTCAAGAGGGAGCTGGACAGGCACCTAAAGTCAGTACCTGACCTGTCCAACTGGGCTTTGGTTCGTATGTTGGTTTGCATGAGGCTGGTAGTAACAGCCTGGCTGATCAGGCCATGATTCACTGGTAATAGACTGGGCTGAAGAGGCATTGACCCCCAGAGTACCATCTAGGTATATTGTAGAATGAAAATGTAAATGCTCATGGCTCAAGCAGTAGTTCCTCTGGCTTGGTTATGAAAGAACCTTTGTTAGTTCCCAGCCTAGTTAATTAGACCCTGATCCACCATGAGGTCTGATCTTAAGACCTGACAACGGGGGCATTGACCCCCAAAATCCTCTCCAGGTTTACTCCAGGTATACACGTGGAAACGTTCAGTATGTTTCCTTACACCTGTTTCCTCTGTTCACTTAGCATAAGTAGGTACAATGGACCCTCAAACAACGCTGGCATCGTCTTAACGATAAAATCCCCTAATGGTGCGTTTCTGCATAAAAATATTGGCTCGACCAACGGTGAAAAATTTGGGTAACAACATTCGTCCCAAATGCATCAGCCTGTCCGTCCAACCTGAGTGCCTCAGCTGCCCAGCCTTCAGCTAGTGTGCCATTGTTTACAAGCCAGGGTGGACAGTTCCACGCATATATGCAATACATTTTGTATTATTCCATTGTTTTTAGTGCGTGTAACTGCTAAATAAGCCACCATGGGCCCAAAGAAAGCTTCTAGTGCCAACCCTGTGGTAAAAAGGATGAGAAATACTATCGAAATGCTATTGTACCACAGTCAGCTGCTGCTGCACCACCGTCAGTGGCTGCTGTACCACGGTCAGCTGCTGCTGCACCACCATCAGCTGTTGCTGTACCATGGTCAGCTGCTGCTGCACCACCATCAGCTGTTGCTGTACCACTGTCAGCTGCTGCTGTACCACAGTCAGCTGCTGCTGTACCATGGTCAGCTGCTGTTGCACCACCATCAGCTGTTGCTGCACCACCATCAGCTGTTGCTGCACCACCATCAGCTGCTGCTGTACCACGGTCAGCTGCTGCTGCACCACCGTCAGCTGTACTACTCGAAGAAGTGGAGAGACTGTTGTTGGTGTGGCTTAAGGAAAAACAATTACCGAGAAACAATTAACCCCAGAGGGTTAGCCACCCAGGATAACCCAAGAAAGTCAGTGCATCATCGAGGACTGTCTTACTTATTTCCATTGGGGTCCTTAATCTTGTTCCCCAGGATGCGACCCACACCAGCCGACTAACACCCAGGTGAACAGGAAAAAATGCCTGAAACTAGTGCTCATATTGGTGAATTTAAGGCCAATGGCATACACAGTGCGATAATGCATGGTGAAGCTGAAAAATTCCAACCCCAACAAGTGTTCAATTGTGACAAAACAGGCCTGTTCTGGAAGAAAATGCCAAACAGGACCTACATTACTCATTACTCAGGAGGAAAAGGCACTCCCAGGACACAAGCCTATGAAAGACAGGCTAACTCTCATGTTTTGTTGTAATGCTAGTGGGGATTGCAAAGTGAAGCCTTTACTTATGTATCACTCTGAAAATCCCAGTGTGTTCAAGAAAAACAGTGTCTCATCACTCATCAGTACTCTTCAATAAAGGTAAGTGTCATTTTAGTATTTATTTATGTATTTATTCTGCATGCCTCATTGTTTTCTGTGTAGGGAAATGTATATTTCATGTAAAAAAAAAATTTTTATTCTTTTTAATACTTTTGGCTGTCTGGAACGGATTAATTGGATTTCCATTATTTCTTATGTTGAAAATTAATTCGGCTAACGATAAAATCGGTTAAGGACAAGCTCTCTGGAACTGATTAAAATCATGACCCAAGGGTCCACTGTACATTGCTAGGTGAGGAGAGGCTGTAATGATGTACCATAATAAAAATTTATTAACAGACTATACGTATGTTATTATGCCTTTTATGAATCATGGTAAAAATTACAATTTAGTCTTGATATTGACTGAAATGCCCATAATATACATAGCATTTCAGTCATAAATAAAGCTAACAGACATGTATATGAGCTTGAAGAATAATGATAGAAATTTAATAATACATCACTACCAATAATAATAATGATAATGCTAGTTATTATTTAGTATTTGGTACCAAACTAAGCTTAAAATAATATAGAGTTGATATTGCAAACCTTCAGTAATAAAGATTATAAATAATATAGAGGAAAGTAAAATATTATGTTGACTTAAGTTTCAAAACTAGAACACATGTAAATCTTTCTTTTCTTTCAACACACCGGCCGTATCCCACCGAGGCGGGGCGGCCCAAAAGGAAAAAACGAAAGTTTCTCCTTTCAAATTTAGTAATATATACAGGAGAAGGGGTTACTAGCCCCTTGCTCCCGGCATTTTAGTTGCCTCTTACAACACGCATGGCTTACGGAGGAAGAATTCTGTTCCACTTTTCCATGGAGATAAGAGAAAATAAACAAGAACAAGAACTAGAAAGAAAATAGGAGAAAACCCAGAGGGGTGTGTATATATATATGCTTGTACATGTATGTGTAGTGTGACCTAAGTGTAAGTAGAAGTAGCAAGACGTACCTGAAATCTTGCATGTTCATGAGACAGAAAAAAGGACACCAGCAATCCTACCATCATATAAAACAATTAAAGGCTTTCGTTTTACACTCACTTGGCAGGACGGTAGTACCTCCCTGGGCAGTTGCTGTTTACCAACCTACTACCTAGTACACATGTAAATATGCTGGTTAAAAGAAAATAACAGTGTATGACAGAATTTTACATTGCTTGAGATAATATAAAACAAAGTGCAATGCTTTAACATTGTAAGTGGCATTTAGTAACTCATAAATATGATAGACACTGACACATACAGACACAGACACACTAGCAGCTAGCTACGAAGTGGGGCCAGGAGCTAAGACTTGACCCCTGCAACCACAAATAGGTAAGTACAAATATGTGAGTACATTAAGCTGTGATTGTATGCCCAGTAGGAAAAATATTAAACAAGCGCATTGGTAAGGCTTAAATAATTGACAGTTTGTTTTATTACAGGTTCGCCCATTAGACAGCGGCTCATATATCTGTGCAGCAACAGATGGTTTTGGTCAGGTCGTCACACAGAATGTTACTCTCATTGTTGAAGGTAAGTTCCTCAAAATATACTTGTATGACTGGGGAGAATATCAAATAGGGTCTTGTTTAAAGGCTTGTAGAGAAGATGCACCGATGCCTCATCAATTGAACACAGTTCCCAAGTGTGTGCACTTGGTAGCTTCAGCACAACTTGTTATGATGAACTTTATTTTGTGTCTTGGGTCAACAGCTGCTAACAGTACGGTAAAGTGGAAGTTTCTACAGAGTTATTTTGTCCCCTTATGCTCTGAAGTTCAGGGCCTCACCTGTCAGGGAGGTTCTAATTTTAATAGCTCACCAGTTCTTGCAGCAGACATCACTGGAGAATATAAGTAGTACCAGGGTTCACCAGACCAAACTTTTATTTGGTTGGGATGATGGTATCAGCATCATGTACATTTCAGTACCAGAAAACCTATTTCTGTGCACCCATAGAGTTTGCAGATCCAAAGCACAAGGCTTGGGTACCCATGCTATCAAACTGTTATGCCATGGCCAGATAGCACAGAATGACTAAAGACTCTTGAGCTCTCTATAAAGATTTCTCCTCTCCTAAATATTATAATTGTGGCTGCCATGTCATCCTTTGTTGTGCATGGGTTTTAGTATGTTGTGGGTGTGAAATAAGAAAGGCTCCATTGCTCTGCTGTGGGTTTATTGAATATAATCCAAATATCTAGTCAGTGTTTTACCAGCATTATGTGCCAGGTGACTGACTCCACCCTAGGGGAAGGGGGCCAGAAATTTGAACTGCTATCAGTCATAAATGATTTCTTACAACACTTAGATTACTGTTGAGATCTTCAACAGGAATAACAGAAGGCCACAGATGTAAACTTGAAAAAATGCAGCCAAAAGGATACTGGGAATTTTTTCTTGACAAATTGAGTAGTAATAGAATGGAACAAATTGAAAGAGGAGATAGTATGTGCTACAACCACTGGAATTTTTTTTTTTTTATGATGAACATAGTAATGAACACAGGACACCATGATCAGTACTCTGTTATTGAAGATACAAATAGGTAATTTCACAAAGTCTAATTCAAAAAATTTCAGCACAATGAATCCAGACAAATTTTTTAGCTGAGAGGATTGTGCGTGAAGAAACATCATGTGAGCTACTTCTCATGTCCCTGGATTAATGCAGACCAAGCACTGATTAAAATTCAGTTCAGTTGGATACATAAAACAGCAATTGAATTTGTGTATATGAAGAAACAACTGAATTACAGACATCAAAAACACTTCTGCATCAGAATAGCAAGGCTGTATAAAAACAAACAAGTGTAACAAGCTTTGTAAAAATATCAAAGAAGTGTAGCAAATTTGGTAAGAATAGCGAAGAAATGTCATGAGCTTGGTAATGAAAGAAGCTGCCTCCATACTGGGGTTCTTGTGCAAAGACAATAGAATCAATTCCTTTAAGGGTAAAGGGGTGCTTTAATGCTTGATAAAGGGTTCTTGGCTTTAGGGACTGGAAATTCCGTTACCTCAGACAAAACCTAATTATTGCTGGTTTCTAGGCTCTTCATGATCCTTAAAGGCTTAGTGCTTCCTCATCATTAAAATGATAATAACAGTAGAACTGATTCCTGTCCATAATCAAAAGTTGAGGCAGGCAGAGGAGCTAGAATTCACACTGTGCTAAAATGACATGCAGACAGTAATCAAGGTTAAAGCAAGTACAGCATTTGTATCAGTACAAAGAAATATTGAAAAGAATATACATGTATTTGGAGTACAGTATTCCTTCTTCTGTAATTGCATCTAAATTCATAAATATATTGCTATACCTTAGAGTCCAATGAATACTAGGAATACACTTTGCCTTTCACTCATAATGTTATAAACATTTAGTACTACAAATCATGTTTTCCAGTATTGTTAGTGTGTACTGTTGATGCTTTGTAATCAGTGTCAAACAGTTGTTAAAGTCATATTTGCTACTAGGCAACCTGTGGATCTCTTCAGCCATGCTCACCTTCCTAGCAGTAATTGCTTATGTGTTTTTCACTTGATGCCCTACCCAAAGCTCACATGTTAACATGATAGCTGACCTCTTATACTTTTTTTTGTAAAAGGCCTAAGAATTTCAGAAAGAACTAAAAGGCACAATACCATGACTGGAACAATACACAAGTAACCCGCACATAGGAGAGAGGAACTTACGATGACGTTGCGGTAGTGTGTAGTTTCTGAATTAATGCGTTAGGATTCTCAGTCCTTGAGCTTTTACAAATTTTCATCCCAGTAAGGACAAAATAAATATTTTCATTTTTCAGTCTGAAAACATAACTAGAGGGAACAACACTCAGATCAGAGATGCCTCATTAGTCCTTATTTATGAAGAGAGAAAGTAGGGTTCCAGTAACTGATCCCCTATACACACTTTTTCTCTTTTGCAATTTGCAATGCAAAAGGCCTAGAGCAACTTCATTCTCTTACTTCCCCTGTGGTTGTTATGCATTGGTGATCACTTGTTTTATAATTAGTTTTTTTTTATTATTATTAACACAGTGGCCATTTCCCACCAAGGCAGGGTGGCCCAAAAAAGAAAAACTTTAATCGTCATTCACTCCATCATTGTCTTGCCAGAGGTGCCCTTACACTACAGTTAAAAAGCCCCTCCTTTGTAATTAGTTACACATATATAAATGATTTTTTTCAATGTACTAGCCATCTCCTAGTGAGGCAGGGTGACCCAAAAGGAATAATGATTTTTTTTTTTTTTTTAACAAGTCGGCCGTCTCCCACCAAAAAAGAAAGAAAATCCCCAAAAAGAAAATACTTTCATCATCATTCTTTTTACCTGTAATAATTTATACAGGAGAAGGGATTACTAGCCCCTTGCTCCCAGCATTGTAGTCATCTTTTATGAAATGCATGACTTAAAAAGGAAAGATTCTTTTCTGCTTTCCCATGGAAATGAAAGGAAATAATAGGAACAAGAACTATTAAGAAAATAAAAGAAATCTCAGGTAAGTGTGTATACATATATGTAAAATAAATAAATATATACAGGAAGGTCCTGTTTGTATGGCTCCTAAGGTTCACTACCCCATATGATAAGTGAAAATCACTGGTGGGTAGAAAAGAGCATTTTTTCATTATTGAAAACATCAAAAATGCCTGATAATGTGTTTACACTATCATCTATTAAGTACTTAATACAACTATGCATAAAAAAAACAGATTATAAAGTGAATTAAGTACACAATATATACAGTACTACCTTAAAATACGGTCCCATTTATCCTTCCCTTACACAACTGTTGTACAGAAGCAGAGATAACTGCAGAAAAGTGGTAAAAGTACCAAAAATAATAAACATTGGCTCAGTTGAAAGACATTGAAAATGTGGACCACCGAAAAGTGGGAGCTGTATATGTGGGGCACTCCTGTATACATACATACATGCATACATATACACACCTGCATATATACATACATAGTACTTAGCTCTGTGCTTAAGCAAAATAGCCTTATGGTGAACTGTAGCATATACTAGGTCAGATCTTCATTACAGTTCAGATAGAATGTGTACAATGGCTCAAGTCTTGTGTGATATCCTTTTGCTGATATTATTTAAAAATATTCAAACAATTCTTAATAAGATAAGATGGCTTCAGGATTTCAGGATGTAGGTCAGCATCTCTGTCAGCACAGAAGAGGGATTGAACCATGTCTCCCTGCTGCATGTCTTTGTAATTACAAGGTTTGGCATTTGGGTTCACTTACTTCAGTTAAAAAAGATCCAGCCTCATAATATGCACCCTTGCTGCACAATTGGGATTTTGATGTTTAAATATCCTGTGTAAGCTCTTTGTACCTTTATTTTTTTCTTATGGGTGATTTACTATACTTCTGGTTGTACTTGTGCCACCTCCAAGTGGCACAAGTACAACTAGAAGTATAGTGGGGATTACTTAGGTAATAGTTCTAGTATTGCCTACTTGGAATTATGCTTTAACAAATGAATATTTTACTGATTACAAATAAGACAGCAAGGTACACACTGATAATGGAGAGGTAAACAGGACTAACTATATATATATTATATATATATATATATATATATATATATATATATATATATATATATATATATATATATATATATATATATATATATATATACGTATATATATATATATATATATATATATATATATATATATATATATATATATATATATATATATATATATATATATATATATATATATATATATATATATATATATTAATTACACACACACGTGTGTGTGTGTGTGTGTGTGTGTGTGAGGCCAAATGTATTCTTGGGGTCATATGATCCATACAGTATGGAAATCTATTTTCCTTCATCAGAGGTAAGTAATATATACTCCTACATAAATAAAATCCGTACATGATTTTACCTGGAATGTTAATGCACAGATCTTTGTATGAGGTGTGCTGTGAATATAATTCATTGACAGAATACTGAATACACAATCAGTACTGTATTTAACATATTTCCTTCTTCTTTTCTACTGCTTACCTTGATGATGAACTTGTTCCATTGATCGCCACAACCATGACAATTATGACTTAAAACACTACACCACTACCAACACCACCACCCTTACCACCACCGATACCCCTACGTCTTGTTGGGTGTGTGGGAGCAGATGGGTGCAGTGGAACTCGGTGTGGTGGTGCCTTGTCCCCCCTGCTGTTCCTTGTCTCTCTCCTTGTGGGCATGGTGGTGCTCCTCCTGCCTCCATGCACCTCTACCATTGGTAACACTTCTTTTCCCTGCTTGTTAATTCCTGCCTGTTTCTCACCTTGGCTGACCTAGCATGTTCTTGTTGTAATATGCCCATAAACTTTGGCATGTGTTACATGCTGTCATCAAAAATGTGTATGTACAGTATTATGTGTATTTTGTCAGGCCACATTCTGAAGGTTAATAATTTAACTGTTTTGCTGCATAATCAGATTTATTGGGTGCTTTGAGAATTATAGTTTTTTAAAATGAAAACTA